CTGTACAGAGTCTCTGTGTATTCAGGGTGAGGGTCACTGTACAGAGTACATTCAGCAATTTCTCTCCCTCCCCACAGGATTTCCCTGTTTTACAGCTCAGTGAAATTGTTGATGACCAGGCGAATATCATTGGCTTCTCCATGTTGAATCCCAGACATCCGTTTTTCCTGGAGTTTATCCGTAGCCTTAACATGTCATGGAGGGAAAACTGTGATACGGCTCATTTCCCTGGAGCTGCGGTGAGTTTGGGGTTTGATCAGAAACTGAATGAGTGTGAGGTGGGAGTGATGTTAAAAGGCTCTGGGAGTGAGGGACTGTGAGCAAAGATTAGATTGTGAAGAACTTCACTGAATCAGGCTTTCAGAGACCCAGGACAGACGCAATGCACTGAATTCCCTCCAGCTGTGCTGTCCAGTGATACATTTTGGGATTTCCTCTCTCTCTCTCTCTCTAAATCTGAAATAGACTCCTTCACACACTGACAGGCCTGTCTCTCCTCTGTTTCTCTCTATGCCATTTCATTCTCACTCTCTCTGATTTTCTCTGTCTTTCTCTTTTTGTCTCTCTCTCTCCCCCTTATTTTTGTCCCTTTCCCTCTCCTTCTTTCACTCTCTGTCTATTCACCTCTCTCTCTCTTTGCCACACTCTTTCTTTCTCTGTACCTCTAATACTTCGCCCCTGACAATTTTGCTGTCCTCTGTCATTTTCCCTCTTCCTTTGCATTTCTCTCTCGAATTAATGCTGTCTTGTTCTCTAACTCTCTTTCCTCTTTCTATTATCCTGTCTCTTCCTCTCTCTCCGTCGCTCGCTGTCTCCATCCCACCTTTCATCCCACTTTCTCGTTCTCTTTCTCTCTCTGTCTGTCTGTATTCATCAGTCCTCCTCTCTCTCTCTTTGGCACTCTCTCTCTCCCTGTCTCCATCCATTCATCTTTCCCTGTCTCTCTCTCTTTCTCACTGTCTTTGTCTCTCTCGCTCTTCTGCTCCTCTCTATTTCCATATCTCCATCTCTTTCCCTGGTTCTCTCTGTCTCCCTCTCTGTCTCTTTCACTCTTTGTCTATCTCTCTACATTCCTCTCTGTTATGATCTCTCCATCACGCACCATCTCAATCGCTCCATCTTTCCCATGCTCAGTCTCAATCCCTGTCCTCCCCGACCTTTCTTCGATCCTCTCCCCATTGCAGAGCTCTGTCCCTACTGCCCCTATCCTTGCTGTCTCCTACTGTCTCATCACTTCCCCTCCCCCGTAACAGTGCTCCCTTTCTCTCCCCCTCCACACCTCCTGTAACAGTGATCTCTCTCTCTATCTCTCACCATTTCCCCCTGTAACAGTGCTCTCTCTCTCTCTCTCTCTCCATCCCTCCATGTGTAACAGTGCTCTATCTCTCCCCCCTCCCCTATAACAGTACTCTATCTCTCTCCCTGCCCTCCTAAAACAGTGCTCTATCTCTCCCCCTCCTCCCTCTTTAACAGTGCTGTCTTTCTCTCCTTGTCTCCCCCCTTTCAGTTCTCTCTGCCTCTCCCCCTCCCACAGTTTGCTCCATCACTCCCCCACCCCTCGCAGTTCTCTCTGTCTCTCCCCTTGCCACAGTGCTCTTTCTGTCTCTCCCCCAGTAGCTAGGCTCTGTCTCTCCCCCAGTCGCTAGACTCTGTCTCTCCCCCAGTCACTAGGCCCTGTCTCTCCCCCAGTCACTAGACTCTGTCTCTCCCCCAGTCACTAATCTCTGTCTCTCCCCCAGTCGCTAGACTCTATCTCTCCCCCAGTTGCTAAACTCTGTCTCTCCCCCAGTCGCTAGACTCTATCTCTCCCCCAGTTGCT